TTAGTGATGTGGTCACATGCCTAGAGTGTAGGTAGGAGAAAAGCTAATTCTCCCAAACATGCACACAGGCCTTGGGCCTGGAGCAGAGATGTCCTGGACCTGTTAGAACAGCATTACAAACTGGAAGATTGCCACCGATGGAGTGTGAGGAGATCTGCAATAACGTGAGGTCAGGAAGCAGACGAAGAGCTGTTCTGGAGAGAGAGTTAGGGCAGTGTTTGGTAAACGTGGGGTTTTCCCTATGTTGTTTTCTTTTATAGCAGTCTGATTTATTTGTTCTGTTTACCAGTTAGATGCTGCTCATAGAGTCACCACACTTCTAAAAAATGCAGCTATTTTTTATGACTCTTTAAAGATATGTGTATTTTAATTTTGAATTTAGGTCTTCACTGAGCTAGTACTATGATGCCTACATCCTATGTCTCAAGCACAAGAGCCCTATAATCTCCAGTGGAAACCATTTGCTGCACTCGGATGTGCAGTAGGTGTGGCAGATTATGGTATGGTAGATAATGTGCTTGGTGGTGGCAGTCCTCAAACTGGAAGTCCTGTAGCCAATGTTGAGAATATAGGAAAGAAACAGTAATTTTTAAAACACCTCCTTTGGCTATTAAGTATAACTATAGTTTTAATTCAGAGATCATAAAGCTGTTTCTATAATGGGCCAGATAATACTCTAAACTTTGTGGGAATCTCATTCTATGGAACAAATTCATTCAGCCCAGTGATTGTAGCATGGGAACAACTGTGGAAAACATATAAAAGAATGACTGTGGCTGTGTCCTATAAAAAACTTTATTTCATAGTGGGCAGCTGGCCAGAATTGGCCCATGGGCTGTAACTCTCCAGACCTCTAATGTTTTGAGAACCGTACTTTTAACCTTTAAAGTTGAAGCTATAAAGAACTGTTTTGACTGGCGTAGACATTTAATTGTTACTTTTTGTTCACAAGTACTTTTTAAACAATTGTCTTTATAAACTAACCTCATTCTACAAAATTTTGACTACCAAATATATGCATTCTTTTACATGGAGTTATATAAAAATTATGTAAGAATATTTTAAAATTGCTGACAGGCAGCCATCCTCCCCCATCATCCTCTGCTGCATGTGCTGCCATCATCCTAACCTCAGTGGATACTTTTCCATGAGTATGTCCTCTGAATGGTGTCCCGCTGCTTCTGTCAAGTCGAACAGTTTCCTTCCTGTACTACAGAATCTGCAGGGACGCTTGGTTCACTGAGAGTAGAACACATGTGCAGTGTTCTCCGTGTTACATTTACCATATGACTCTGTGCTTTCTGTTCGCTCTCTGTTTCAGATGAAATGCTTACCTGTTCTTCCATCTGAGTCAAGTGTTCATTCAAACTGCTTAGAATGATATCTGCCCAACACTGTGGACTTAAATAACACTGTTATTGTTTCAATAAAGCTGTTGACACTCCTGTCCTGAGGCCTTTTCAGTATGTGTTCCAATCAACATAGGACCATGATTTTTCCTGAGAACAAAACACTCTGTGTCCAGACCGTTCAACAGAAATATAATAACCTTTTCAAAAATATGGTGTTGGGACAATTAGATTTCCATCTGCAAATAATGAAGTTGGACCCCTAATTAAACACAAAATTAATTCAAAATAATCATAAAAATAAATGTAAGGGACTAATTTATAAACATAGAATATAATATGTGAGTATATATTAATTTTACCTTATTCAAAATATAACACGAAAAGCATACATAACAAAGGAAAACGAATAAATTGAACATTTTTTTTCATAAGCTGCTGTTTAAAATGATGAGAAGGAAACCCTCAGGATGTGAAGAGTTTTCAGGTTAAGTATCTGGCAGGGGACTTGTGCACAGTCCAGTGAGGAGCGCATCTTTAAAAAAAAAAAACAAAACACGGGCAAAGGATTTAAGCTTTACTGATGCTCATTAAGTATATGAGACTCTAGTGTCTGTAGTCTGAGAAAAATGTTTGTCAAGAGCACAATGAGAAAAGACTTTAGACCACAAGTATAACTATAAACTAAGACCACAAAAATTGCTGGTTAGGATGTGAAGAGATCAGAACCCTTATCTGTATTAGTGAGTGAGGAGACTGAAATGGAGTGGCAACTTTGAAATCATTAAACGTGGTATTAACACATGTTCCAGCACCTGTACACCTACTGTATCTAAGAGAGATGGAAACATTAAGAGAAGGAAACTAGTTTCAGAAGCCCACGTATTATGTAGTCTCATTCTTAGGAAATGTTTATAGTAGGTAAATGGATAAAGGAAAAGAAGAGTGATCAGTGATTGTCCAGGTCTGAGTGGGAGCTGGGAGCTTGGAAATGACTACTGATAGCTGCAGAGTGTTTTGGGAGTGATAAGAATGTTCTGAAGTGAAATGGTAATGATGATTGCACAATGCTGTGAATTATGAAAACCAGTAAATTGTAAACTTTAAAATGGAATGTTTTATAGTAACTCTGTAAACCATTTTATAGTACATTTTATGTATCTCTATAAAGTGTTATTTAAAAAGAATAAAATGGGCTAGGAATGGTGGCGCATACTTTTAATCTCAGCACTTGGAGACAGGGTCAGGTGGATTTCTGTTAATTTAGAGCTAGCCTGGTAAACAAGTCAATCAGGTGTATATAGTGAGACCCTGTCAAAATACAATAAAATACTGGAGTGATATCTCAGTTTGTAAGAGGATGTGCTTTGCAAGCAAGAGGACCTAAGTTCAAATCTCATGCATCTTTATAAAATCTAGGTATGGTCATGTCTACCTGTAAGGCTAGCGTTGGGGAATTAGGATCAACAGATCCTTATTTTGGGAACTTGCTGCCCAGTAGGGACAGTTCAAAACATGAGTTTCCATTGTACCTTACCTCAGAGAATAAGGTGTGTAGCCATAAACAAAGACATAACATCTCCTTATGACTCTGCCTGATGTCTACATTCATAAAATTTTTATCCATCACACACATGCGTGTACACACATACACACACGATGGGCTGGGGTCTAAAATGGTCTTATTTTTCCTTTTGTGGCTTTTTAAACATTGTGAATGAAATACACAGTTTTTCTTTTTAAATTTCTGGCTACCTGCTAACTTTACATATAGCCACAGATGATTTGGATGTAGAAGGTAGAATTCTTATTGAGCAAGTGATTAGTTTTTGACAGTGCCGTATACCCATGTACAAACCATGACTTCTGTTCAGGGGATATTCAGTGGCCAGGAAATAATTAATGGTCTTACCCTTTTGAGAGGTTTTTCACATGAAGACTAAGGTGATTCATACTACAATGATATGGCAGTGATAAGGTTTACAACCTCATCATTCTAAAAGGTTTAAAATAAGGTTCATCTACTTATCATTTATAGAAGTTATTTAAGAAATAAGCCTAGAAATTACATGGTTATGGGTAGTTCTTTTGTCAGCTTGATGCAAACTAAAGTTCTCTTAGAAAGGAAACCAAATTGAGAAAATGCCTCCATTGGATTGGTTATAGGCAGATCAATAGTGTTATTTACTTGATTAATGATTGATGTAGGTGAGCCTAGCCCACCGTGGGCAGTGCCAACCCTCAGCTTTTGGTCCTGGGTTCTATAAGAAAGTTGGGTGAGTAAGACATAGACATCAAGCCAGTAAACAGTGTTACTTTGTGGCTTCTGCTTCAGTTCCCAATTCCAGGTTCCAGCCTTGAATTCCTTACCTGTCTTTCCTCTGTGATGGTCTGTGATTGGGATGTATAAACCAAATAAATTCTTTCCTTCCCAGGTTGTTTTTACTTATGTTCTTTTATAGACAGACTGTACTTTTCTTTCCTACTGTCCAGACCCAAATAACCACATAGAACTATATTAATTACAACACTGTTTGACCAATGACTCAAGCATATTCCTAACTAGCTCTTACATCTTAAATGAACCCATTTATATTAATCTATGTTTCACCACGAAGCTGTGGCTTACCAGTAATACTTTAGCAACTTTCTCCTTTGGCAGCTTAATGGCATCTCTTTGACTCCGTCTACTCTATATATCTCTGTTCAGATTTCTCACCTGGCTTTACTCTGCTAAGCCAGTAGCCAAAACAGTTTTATTCATCAACCAATAAAAGCAACACATATACAAAATGACATTCCACATCATTCTTTATCACAAAAATACCAACCTAACTAAGAACAAAACTCTTTCCTTTTAAAAACCATTTTGAAAAGCTGGAATATGTTGAATTATATCTCAGTACCCTCCTTGAAACTAGTTTGTATAAACATTAGCATTTGTTACATCCACTGTTACTGTACAGTTAAATAAATAAAATCATATACTTTATAGATACCACCATTATTCTTGTGCCCTTATTTTTTAAAACAAAAAGCAAAAGAGTTCTTTTAAAGGTAAGCTATGGCCAGGTGGTGGTGGCACACACCTTTAATCCCAACACAGGGGAGGCAGAGGCAGGAGGATCTCTGTGAGTTCGAGGCCAGCCTGGTCTACAAGAGCTAGTTCCAGGACAGGCTCCAAAGCGATAGAGAAACCCTGTCTCGAACCACCCCCCCAAAAAAAGGAAGCTATGGTTTAAAGTACATGTTCTCAGCCTTTGGTGCACAAACATCCACTGGGGCTCATTCAAACCATGACTTTTGGACTCCTCCCCACAAGAATTTGGTTTAAGCTGAATTTTTAATGAATACCTTTTGAAGGATAGTGCATTATTCCATCATGCAAAAATTCCCAGGGATCCAGCTAATGCTGAGGAAAACAAGGGTGTTAGAATGTTTATCACAACTGCTGAATAGATATTGATGTAGTCTTCAGCTTTTTGATACTGGAAGTAGATGATATCCACATTGGAAATTCTGTTACAAAATAACACTTACTTTCTTCCTACCAGCATAAAATCCCAGGTTGTAAAACTGTTGTGCTTGTCACCTTGCCGGCATCCCTCACTGATGGCCTTCAGTGCACTCATCTCCACCTTCTCTTTGCAGATTTCCTTTGACTTAGCAGAGTACACTGCAGATGTTGATGGAATTGGCACCTTGCGGCTTCTGGATGCAATTAAGACTTGTGGCCTTATAAATTCTGTGAAGTTCTACCAGGCCTCAACAAGTGAACTATATGGAAAAGTGCAGGAAATACCCCAGAAAGAGACCACACCTTTCTATCCGAGGTCACCATATGGTAAGGACACTTGTGCCCAGCCATATATATAGTTCTCTGTGGCTGTGGGGATGTTTCTGCTTTCATTCTGTATATGTGTCATACCCGGTCATTTGGATGTGAGAATGCCATTTATAGACTAAAGTGGCTGGACTTGTTGGGAAGCACACTCTATGCATTATTGCCATTGCCTCCAGGTGCATTAGCACCTCATTCACCAATCTCTGTTCATCCAACCTTTCTACACAGATCACTTCAAATGAAAATTAGACCCAATATGACTCATTTTCTAAGCTGTTTAGAGACTGTGCTGGAGCAATGAGCTTTTGTGTTGTTTGTTTTTATTTTTCCCCATGACAATTTCTCTGAGTACAAACCTAGGAGGAAAAAACAGACTTATATGTACCACATTAGTAAAGAAATTCATGAAAGATATATACGATAACATTTTAAAAACAATATTAAGATCCCAAATATCTTCTTTCTAATTTTCTAAAAGTTTGTGTGTGTGCGCGCGTGCGCACACGCATATACTCACATGTGTACGTGAGGGAGTCGGGGAGACAGAGACAGACACAGTGAAAGACACGGTGAAGGGAGCTAAGATGAACTTGTTATATTCTATAGTATAATTGAATAAATAGATGGTAAAAGAATTAATGTTATGAAGGAGTTTTATTTCTAATGCACATGATTAATTGGCACACAATGTTTTGGATTGTGGTTCATATTAGCCATTTTGATGCATTATAAGTAATACTCAGTCAGTTATTACTTGTCTAAGGTAAATGAAAAGCACAGTCCTTTAGAGTAAACTTTGTCTTTAACAAATTATTCCAACAGGTGCAGCCAAACTGTATGCCTACTGGATTGTTGTGAACTTCCGCGAGGCTTATAATCTCTTTGCAGTGAATGGCATTCTCTTCAATCACGAGAGTCCTAGAAGAGGTGAGTGAATACATTATCAGAGGAGGGCTTTAGACTTTGGCAACAGAGAATGGTGTATGTATAGTTTGTTGATGCTCTATAGATTGAAAAGTTTATGTCTGCTCCGCTTATAAATATGGTAAATAAAGAAATATAAATCAGGCTTTAATTTATAAGAACTTTTTAAATTCTTTGTGAAAGGCTGGACTGTGTGAAAATTTACTGTCTTCGTTAGTAGTTTTCAACCCAAGTATGGGAAATTACTGTGTGAACACAAGCAATGAGAGATAAACTGCTGGTGGTTTCTGTCATTCATTACTGTTTACGTAGACTCAACCAGTTGAAAAGTAAGTATCTTCCCTTTATATTAGAGAGACACCAGAAATGATTGTTTCTCGAATGTTTTCGAAAATCAATTTGAAATAAGTCCGTAAACATTATTTGTTTTGCTTGTTTGTTTTCCTGAAAGTTGTATTTGCTTGCGTCAGTTTAGTTATCTTCGAGACTATTGGCATATCATTTCTCTGCCAACAGCATTAGGTTTTCAGAGAGAAGACATGTACTCCCACCCTTCTGACCAAGTGAAACACTAGAAATATTAACACGCCAGGGTGTTCGGAGAGGAATAGAACCCACAACATCAGTCTTTACAAAGAACAACTTATTTGTGTCATCTAAATTAGAAACATTTTATTAAATTTAATGGTCACTTAGTCTTAGAGTGTGAGAATAAATAAGAAGCCCAATATTAAGAGTTGGTTCTTGCCCAACAACTAGTAATACTTATAAGTATTTCAGTGAAATTTTATATGACTACATACTCACCTAATTAAACCAACAAGTCAGAGAGAAAGATTAAAGTGACAGGCTTATAAAGGTGTCTTTAGCATCACATATTTTTATTTTATAATTGCTTAAGTTAGCAGTTCCCATGATGGATTGTTAAGGCATGATTACCAGCCTGTCATCTCTGAATACACATGTACTCATCATTTCTTTAATTAATTTTGTGTTCTGGATATTCCTGGCAAGTGTAATCCTGTCTCTTTTCGCACAAACATGCTTGTATATTTTGTTGTATTTCTGTATTTTTTTTTCCTTTTCAATCTGACCCATTTCTTCTACACCACACAGAACAAGTAAATGTTAATTGCTCTAAGTCAGGTTAAGAGAGGAAAAAGCATTCTTAGGTTATACAATAAAAAGACAATTTAAAAATTATGCTTCTGCCGGTCCTCTATTTGTACCCTAAAAATGAAGGCTTTTCTTCTATTTTGATTATTTTCTGAATTTTAAGAGATAATATTTATGAATTTCAAAGAAAAATTTTAAATGTTATAAGAGGTAAAGAAAGAGTTCCTTTCCTCATTTATACTAAGCTTCCTACAACTGGAGCCACTATTATCATGCCCAGAAATTCCCTTTATGTTTTTAGACCTGCAAAGATAGTTACCCATATGTCTTGGGTCTCTGTTAAATATTTGTTAGATTTGATCTTGGGCATCTTAATAGCAGGGGAAGGCTCTTGTTTTAGAAACTTTTAGACCTGAGTTTGATCCACCAGAGCCCACAGTGGAAAGGGAGAACTGGCCTTCAGAAATTGTCCTCTAGCCTCCACACATGTGCTATGACATACTCATGTCTACACAGACACGATAGCCAGACAGACATATACAGAGACTAATATAAAAATTATCAAAAGGTTATCCACATTAAGATTATTAAGGAAGCTGGACAATGGTGAGAGCTCCTTTAATCCCAGTAATCGGGAGACAGAGACAGGTGGATCTCTGTGAGTTTGAGGCCAGTCTAGTTTACAGAATGCATTCCAGGAGAGGCGCCAAAGCTACTAAGAAACCCTGTCTTGAAAAATGAAAATGAAAAAGATTATTAAATAAAACTTGAACTTGTAATATAAATCAGCTTATTGTTTTATTACATATACAGAAATCAGTATTCCATTTTAAACCCCATTTCTATATTCAAATAATAAAAACATAATTTATATTAATACTACCTTTGATAAAACTTCTGAAATCTAATATGCATAACATTTTAAAACTTAAAATTAAAATAAATTTACTATGAAAGTAATTTTTTTAAAGATTAAGCATTGTTTTTTTTTATTGAGAAAAGGAAAAAAAAAGTTTCCCCCTCCTCCCAGCCTCCCATTGCCCTCCCCCTCCTCCCACCCTTCTCCCCCTCCACCCACTCCTCTCCCCCTCCCTCTCCAGTCCAAAGAGCAGTCAGGGTTCCCTGCCCTGTGGAAAGTCCAAGGTCCTCCCCCCTCCGTCCATGTCTAGGAAGGTGAACATCCAAACTGGCTAGGCTCCCACAAAGCCAGAACATGAAGTAGGATTAAAACTCCTTGCCATTGTCCTTGGCTTCTCATCAGCCCTCATTGTTCGCCATGTTCAGAGAGTCTGGTTTTATCCCATGCTTTTTCAGTCATAGTCCAGCTGGCCTTGGTGAGCTCCCAGTAGATCAGCCCCATTGTCTCAATAGGTGGGTGCACCCCTCGTGGTCCTGACTTCCTTGCTCCTGTTCTCCCTCCTTCCGCTCCTCATTGGGACCTTGGGAGCTCAGTCCAGTGCTCGATGTGGGTCTCTGTCTCTATCTCCATCCATCACCAGATGAAGGTTCTATGGTGATATGCAAGATATTCGTTTGTATTGCTATAGGATAGGGTCGTTTCAGGTTCCCTATCCTCATCTGCCCAAGGAACTAACTGGGGGCATCGCCTTGGGCTCCTGGGAGCCCCTCTAGGTTCAAGTCTCTTGCCAGCCCTAAGGTGGCTCCCTTAACTAAGAATTGTGCTTCCCTACTCCCCTATCCAGCCTTCCTTTATCCCAATCATCCTGTTTCCCCAAGTTCCCCCCATCCTCCCCTTCTCACTTTTCTCTCCCCATCTCCCCTTACTCCCAACCCACCCCACCCCCAAGATCCCACTTTCCTCCCCGGCAATTTTGTCTACTTCCCATAGGCAATGGGAAACTATATGTTTTTCCTTGGGTTCACCTTCTTATTTAGCTTCTTTAGGTTCACCAATTGTAGACTCCGTGACCCTTATTTATGGCTAGAAACCAATTATGAGTGACTACATCCCATGTTCATCTTTTTGGGTCTGGGTTACCTCACTCAGGATAGTGTTTTCTATTTCCATCCATTTGCATGCAAAATTCGAGAAGTCATTGTTTTTTACCGCAGCATAGTACTCTACTGTGTATATATTCCACACTTTCTTCATCCATTCTTCCATTGAAGGGCATCTAGGTTGTTTCCAGGATCTGGCTATTACAAATAATATTGCTATGAACATAGTTGAACAAATGCTTTTGTCATATGATCGGGCATCTCTTGGGTATATTCCCAAGAGTGGTATGGCTGGGTCCAGGGGTAGGTTGATCTCGAATTTCCTGAGAAACCGAAACACTGATTTCCAAAGTGGTTGCACAAGATTGCATTCCCACCAGGAATGGATGAGGGTACCCCTTCCTCCACAGCCTCTCCAGCAAAGGCTATCATTGGTGTTTTTGATTTAAGCCATTCTGACAGGTGTAAGATGATATCTCAAAGTTGTTTTGATTTGCATTTCCCTGATTGCTAAGGAGGTTGAGCATGACCTTAAGTGTCTTTTAGCCATTGGAACTTCTTCTGTTGAGAATTCTCTGTTCTGTTCAGTGCCCCATTTTTTAATTGGGTTAATTATCATTTTAAAGTCTAGTTTCTTGAGTTCTCTATATATTTTGGAGATCAGACCTGTGTCTGTTGCGGGGTTGGTAAAGATCTTCTCCCAGTCAGTAGGTTGCCTTTTTGTCTTAGTGACGGTGTCCGTTGCTTTACAGAAGCTTCTCAGTTTTAGTAGGTCCCATTTATTCAATGTTGCCCTTAATGTCTGTGCTGCTGGGGTTATACCTAGGAAGTGATCTCCTGTGCCCATCTGTTGTAGGGTACTTCCCACTTTCTCTTCTATCAGGTTCAGTGTGTTCGGACTGATACTGAGGTTTTTAATCCATTTGGAATTGAGTTTTGTGCATGGTGATAGATATGGGTCTATTTTCATTCTTCTACAGGTTGACATCCAGTTGTGCCAGCACCATTTGTTAAAGACGCTTTCTTTCTTCCATTGTATACTTTTAGCTCCTTTATCGAAAATGAGGTGTTTATAGGTTTGTGGATTAAAATCGAGGTCTTCTATACGATTCCATTGGTCGACTTCTCTGTTTTTATGCCAGTACCACACTGTTTTCATTACTGTAGCTCTGTAATAGAGTTTGAAGTCAGGGATGGTAATTCCTCCAGAAGATCTTTTATTGTATAGGATTGTTTTGGCTATCCTGGGTTTTTTGTTTTTCCATATAAAGTTGATTATTGTCCTCTCAAGATCTGTGAAGAATTTTGATGGGACCTTGATGGGGATTGCATTGAATCTATAAATTGCCTTTGGTAGAATTGCCATTTTTACTATGTTAATCCTTTCAATCCAAGAGCAGGGGAGGTCCTTCCTTTTTCTGGTATCCTCTTCAATTTCTTTCTTCAATGCCTTAAAGTTCTTGTCAAATAGATCTTTTACTTCCTTGGTTAGAGTAACCCCAAGATATTTTATGCTGTTTGAGGCTATTGTGAAAGGTCAAGCTTCTCTGATTTCCCTCTCTGCTTCCATATCCTTTGTGTATAAGAGGGCGACTGAGTTTTTGGAGTTGATCTTGTATCCTGCCACATTACTAAAGCTGTTTATCAGCTGTAAAAGTTCTTTGGTGGAGTTTTGGGGGTTGCTTATGTAGACTATCATATCATCTGCAAATAACAAAAGTTTCACTTCTTCCTTTCCAATTCGAATCCCCTTGATCCCATTATGTTGTTTTATTGCTGTAGTAATAAGAGCGGTGGCGGGGCTGCGTTCCCAGCACCCCGGCCGCCTGCTCAGCTAGCTTATGCCCCAAAATAATTACACAGACACTGTATTCTTTTAAGCACTGCTTGGCCCATTCTCTTCTAGGCTAATTCTCACATATTAATTT